CCTCGAACCCTGCTCTCTGCGGTTGTCCAGTGCTGGGCTGCAGCCTTGGGTCCCTAGAAGCCCTCAGTCACCTCCCTGGGCCCAGAGCCCTCACTGCAGGGCTGGAGAGAAAGTTTTTGAACTGGAGGGAGAGCGCTCAGACTCCTGGTGGGACAGCCAACGCCACCTCCAGAGTCCCCCTGCCCTGGCTTGGGGACTGGAATTTGCACTGATCTTGCCTGTGGGTCTGCAGAGTGGGTAACATAGGAGTGGGTTGTGGAGCCGTAAGGATTGTGACTTGAGAGCCTCACACTCCTCGAAGGACCTGGCCCAGAGCACGTGATCCACCGAAGCCACCTGGCAGGGACAGGTGTGTGGGGCCAGCTGGACACCAACCGGGGACAGCTCAGAGAGGGCCGGGCAGCATCACTCCTGGGCCACAGCTCCACGGGCTTGGTCAGAGCACAAAGGCTGCAGGCAACACCTATCCATGGCCACTTGGCAAATAAGTGTCTTGCTGAGGACCTGGAGCCCTAAGCCTCAGGGAAGGGAAACCACAGTGTATTAGAGCTCTGGCTGTTTTCCCAGTGGTGGATGCAGGAAGCCATGCACCCAGAAGTGCCTTGGGGTGAGGGGCGGGGATGGCTCCCAGCTCCTTCCCACACCCACCCTTGAGGAGCCACAGCTCCTCACCGAGTCCTATGTCCTCGCTTGGGCACAGAGAGACGTGAGTGACCAGGAAAGGCATTGGCCTGGCACATGTCAGGAGCAGTGGTGCACATCTGTAATCCCAGAACTCAAGAGGCTGAAGCAGGAGGATTGCTGTGAGTTCAAGGTCAGCCTGGGCTACATAGAGACCGTGTCAGAGAGAGAGAGAGAGGGAGAGAGAGAGAGAGAAGAAAGGAGAGGAGAGGAGAGGAGAGGAGAGGAGAGGAGAGGAGAGAGGAGAGAAGGAAATCAGAGTTACAGATCTGCTAAAGTGGGCTGGCTGGAGGCTGGCTGGTCACTGTCTGAGATCTGGTTGTCGACAGGGACCCAGGGAGTCCTTGTTCCTGGAGGGACGATTCTGCCTGTTTCATGGGGGCCCTGCTGGAGCCCATGGTGACACAGGCTCAGGGTGGCAGCTGCAGACCGGGGCAAGGCTTGATAACCAAATATCCCTGCAAATCGCTCATCTTGGTGGCTTCTGCTTGGAAAGGGATGAGCTGGTTTCATAATCCAGGGTTCACCTGGCTTGCTTTGCAAACTTTGCAAACGTTGAGACTGACTTCCTATGGGATTGCCCAGCCAGAGCTCAGTCCTGCTTTGGTCACCCATGCGGCACTCGTGAGCCCTAGGGAGGGGGTGAAAGTCTACAGGAACCCTTTCAATCCCTGACCCTTGGAAGAAAGTACAAATCACGCTCTCCACAAGGACGGTTGAGGCCAGAGCATCTGTCCTCTGTTCTTACAGTGTCTCTGAGTATCTCCATTGGTTTGGATCTGCACACACACTGCAGCTGCATCTTCTGTTGTTCACTGTGGAGAGAGACAGAGACAGAGAGAAACACAGACAGACAGACAGACAAAAACAGAGACAGAGAGACAGAGACAGAAACAGAGAGATTCAGAGACAGAGACAGAGACAGAGAAATGACACAGAGACTGAGGCAGAAAGAGAGAAGCAGAGAGAGACAGACAGAGACAGACAGACAGAAAGAGATAAAGAGAAACAGACAGAGGCAGACAGAGACAGAGACTGAGAGAGACAGACAGACAGAAATAGACTCCAACCAGAGCCCTGAGCTGAGCCTGCAGCTGTAGAGAGCAGAGTGACAATCCTGATGCTCATAACTTAGTTCCTCTGTAGCAGACCTGTGCCTTTGTCAGCAGCGTAGAGAGCCCTACTGGAGATTCGGCCGCCCCTGCCTAGGACATGGATTCTGAGTGCTGTGCTTGGGAGCTTCCAGTGGGTTAACACCCTGCCACTTTGTTCCCCTACCTGGCCCCTGAGTGTTCATCCTAACTCCAGACAGACAGAGGGGCTGCCTGGCTCTTTCCAGACCCGAGGGTCCATCCTCGTCCACCACAGCCACCCCCATAACCACAGGGAGTCCACGAGGCCCCTCAAGGATGGACAAATGTGATTGCCCTGTGATCTTCACAGCCATGGAGTTGAGCACAGGCTCTGGATTCCACTCCTGGCTGCACATTGTCCTGGAGCTGCTTCATGGTCTCATGAGGGGGAGCAGCTGCCCAGCCCTACCTGCTCAGAACTTGAACTCTTCCCAGCCTTTGGTCACCGATCGGTGGGCAGAAATCAGGTCCCAGGGGTGCTGGTGGAGCTCAGCTGGAGCCCAGAACACGGGATGAAGTGAGGTCCAGGTTGGCTGGGGAAGGGGCAGGACACAGGAGGGTAGGGACAGGGGCTGACTTCGAGAGAAACTGGAAAGCCTAGATGGGCTTCCTGGAGGAGGTGACCCTAGGCAGAGGCTCAGACACCAAGAAGAGACCAGCACAGTGGGAGGGGAGGGGACGCTGGGCAGGTGCAAGAGGAAGGAACCAGGTGCATTGTGGGGAAAAAGCAGCAGCCTGTATGTGTGACTGCAATGTGTGTGTGTGTGTGCATGTGTGCGCACACGTGCATGCATGTGCTGAATTTGGCTTCAGGTGTGGGCACCTAGGACTGAAAGCCAGGAGGGGACACTTGTGGGTGAAGATCACTGTGAGTCTGCAAACCGGGAGCAGACTCGGGTTGGAGTGAAGATTTGGGGTGATCAGTGGACGCTGAGGGCTTGGCCAGGGCGCAGGGGCTGCAGGCAGTCCTAGGAGAGGACTTGGGAACTGCAGTGCCCACGTGTGACCTCCTGAGGCCTGGACACGAGGGTCAGGCGGGGGTCAGGGTGCTGGGGCAATGGCCACTGTGGGGGAGTTCAGGGAGCAGGGCAGAGGCCAGAGGGCAAGGCTGTGGTTCTGGGGCTGCGGGTGCACAGCCACAGGGTGCAGCCCTTGCAGAGGGTCATGGACTGGTGCAGAGGGACCCCACTCTTCACTCAGAGCCGTGCACCCCAGAGGTGCCCCTGCTTGCTCTCTATGCAGCTTCCGTCTCCCTCTGTCTGTCTGTCCCGTCTATGCATCGGTCAGAGGGCCCGGCTAAGAGCTGCCCACACTTGCCAGCCCTTGAGCCTCTTGGAGGGTCAAGGGTCCTCTGCTTCCCAGTGCTGGGGACACAGAGAGTCTTGGGCAACAGCTTGCTCTGTGTGTCCTGGCCCCCTGCGAGGTTAAACCTCCCAGACCAACGCTGATGGTTGCATGAATGAGCCAAAGCCCAGAGCCTGGCCAAGGTCAAGCAGCCAGGGAAACCTAGGTTCTGAAAATACTTTTACCCTGATCTACACAGGCTGGGCTTTTTCCTGCTTGTAATTAGGTAATAGTTGACTGATTAATGGATCCAATACATCACTGATAAACTTCTGTGACTGGGCAGAACTCTGGACAATGAGGAAGACCACCGAGGTGTCTGTCACCATGGGCAGCATCAGGGAAAGTGCAGAGCTGGGCGGCAGCTCTGTCCACAGTGAGCCTGTGCACCGGGCCCCTCCTGGTTCCTGCAGACACTGGGCAGCTGGCGAGGAAGTGCAGGAGCTGCCCAGCAATTTCACAGAGAAATGGCTTAACTGGACACCGTGGTGGCTGTTTCACCACCTCTTATCTGCTGGAGAGGACAGTTAGCTGGCTCTGAGCCCAGGCCCTGCAGCCCTCGCTTCTCCCGCGTGGGGTCCTGGAGCAGGCTTGGGGCTCACGCTCCCGGGGTCCAAGAAAGAGGGTCCTCTTGTCTGCTCTGCCTGTGCTGTCGTGGGCTTCTCCAGGTCATCCCTCCAGATGCTTCTCTGTGCTGTTCCTGCCAGTGGTGGTCTCTGCTTTTCTCTGAGTTTGCAAATCTTCCTAAATGGATTTGTCTGAAATATGTACTTGTAGCGAGGATAAACAGATACAGTCTTTCCCTCAACTTGTGTTAGGGGTCTGAACACTGAAACCTATGTTTCCTTCCTACAAAAACTCTTCACTGAAAGACAAGATATATGTTTGTTCATTTCATGCTGCATAAAAGCTGGGTTTGCCAGGTGGGGTGGTGCACACTTGTCATCCCAGAACTCAGGAGGCCGAGGCAGGAGAATCACTGTGAGTTCATGTAGTGAGTCCTACACCAGCCTGACCTATGCTGTGAGACCTTGTTTCAAAAGAAAAAGATGCAAACTTCTGATGAGTTTATTTCCTTGGAGGTTGCTCGTGAGCAGGTAGGAGGGTGCCTTGTGCATCTGACCAATATGCAGCACATGAAGCTGGCTTCCTCCCATGTGGACTCTTCACCCTGCGCCTCCACGGAGCCCTGCTTCTCCCCGCTCCCCTGGAGCAGTGTATGCCCAGGGCAGAGCCCGGGCCCAGTGCGCTTCCTCTCCACACCACATCTCCCGAAGGACATGGACACACTTCGCCCACCTGGACACTGCTGGTGTCCAGGATGCTCTTGGCTTGAGGGTCTCACAATGTGCAGCCTTGGAAAGTTTCCCTGTGTGTTAGCACTGCTTCTGCTGAAGGATCCAGGGCCCAGGACTGAGGTCAACCAGGTGTCCACTTTGACTTGTACCTGGTGTGCATTCATTTAGTTTGCCCTTGTGCCCGGCAGAGTGGCACTGCAGGGCAGAGCAGCGCCAGCCTCCCTTACCCACTAGAAGAGGGCACTCAACTCTCTGCTCCCAGTGTCCTGGGACTCACAGCTGCCAGGGCAAGGACCTCTGTGGCCGGGACTCTGATGAAAACAGGACAGCGGGGCTGAAGGGGCATTGGGACAGAAGCAGCCGTTAGGGAGCAGCTGGCCAGGGCAGGGAAGTGAAGAAAGAGCTCTTATCACCCAAGGGCCCTGTGCTCAGTGCCACTTCTCCCCAGGGGCCTATAAGATGCCTGGGGTCTACACGGGGCTTCTGGGAGAGGACGGGGCCCTCGGTGCTCTCTGTCCTGCAGTGCAGCTGTTTCTGGTGATTGGTGGGGCTCAGCCTTGGCTTCTTGTGAGGAAGTGGGGACTGAGGGGGCCCTGGTTCCTTCCTGGCTCTCTGGGTCTGAGGCGCTGGTGTCTTGGCTCTCCTTGTACTCTTCACCTGAGGGACACCAAACTGAGGGCTGGGCTTGAACTTGTGACCCTCCTGCCTTCCCCTCCCATTGGGTAGGAGTTGTGTTCTCACTTTTCCTGGCTTCCACCCAGCTTCTGATGGCCTGGCCTGTGTGTGTGTGTGTGTGTGTGTGTGTGTGTGTGCACGTGCGCACACACGCGCGTGCGCATGTGTGTGTGAGACCCTTTTTTTCCCTTGCAGGACAAGGTCGAGATGAAACTCCTGCTCCTCCTGGCTCTCCTCGTGGGGGCGGTGTCCACCCGGCATCTCAGTGAGTCTTGGTCTCAGTGTCCTGGTGCCCGTGTCCTCTTCCTCTGGTGGGATCCGGGGTGACCATCCAGGACAGGGAGGGAGCTATCCGTGGTTCTGAAGGCACGGGACTCCATGAAGGAATGCTTGTTCTTCCTCTTGCCAGAGGTGGACACGTCCAGCTTGCAGAGCCTGCAGGGAGAGGAGAGCTTGGCCCAGGATGGGGAGACTGCAGAAGGGGCCACCAGGGAGGCTGCCTCAGGGGTGCTGATGCCGCTGCGTGAAGAGGTGGAGGAGGAAATGGAAGGAGGCTCTGGGAGTGAAGATGACCCCGAGGAGGAGGAGGAGGAGAAGGAGATGGAGTCCAGCTCAGAGCTGGATATGGGCCCTGAGGATGTCCAGTGTCCTAAGGAAGAGGACATAGTAAAATTTGAGGGCAGCCCTGGATGCAAAATCTGCCGATACGTTGTGCTGAGTGTCCCCAAGACATTTAAACAAGCCCAGGTGAGTAGTGTGTCCTAGTGTTCTTGTCTTGGTCACTGTCCCCACTGAGGGCCTGGGGTCTCTGCAGATGCTGGGCTGAGAGGGAGGAGGCTGGTTTCCCACTGAGCTTAGTCTCCCATCACCATGGAACTGTGGATAGGAAGGAAGATGTGGAGGGTGCAGACTCGAGACCCCTGCTGTGGTCACTGGGGCTCCTGTCGTGGACACTGCTCTCTGATCTTCCCCTGCTGCAGTCGGTGTGCCAGAGATGCTTCCGGGGAAACCTGGCGTCCATCCACAGCTACAACATCAACCTCCAGGTGCAGAGAAGTTCCAGGATCCTCAATGTGGCCCAGGTCTGGATTGGAGGCCAACTCAGGGGCAAGGTAAGAGCGTGCTGGGTGCCTCTGACCAAGGTCTCATTCACCAGACCAGGTGTCCTGTGGGCAGCAGCTGCAGAGACAGTGAAGGGACAGTGTCGGCCCCCATGCAGCCCTTTCTTCACATTCCTTTCTCTAGGGTCACCACAAACACTTTCATTGGGTGGATGGAACCCTCTGGAATTTTTGGTACTGGGCAGCTGGGCAGCCCTGGAGAGGCAACAACAGTGGCAGATGCGTGACCCTGTGTGCCCGAGGTGAGGTGGGCTGGGGAGGATTTGGGGGCTGAGGGATAGGGGTGTGCGGGACGGGAGCCTGCTCCTGAGGGAGGCCACCCTGAGACTCCATGTCCCCCCATTCTGTCTGCACAGGAGGTCACTGGCGCCGATCTCACTGTGGTGTTAGACGTGCTTTCTCCTGTTCCTACTGAGAGCAGCTTGGAGCTCCTCTCTGCTGCCCTCACTAGCAGCTGCCTCTCCTCTCCTGCCTGCACTCCTCCCTCCTCTGCCCTGCAATAAAATCTCTCTCCTGGAATGAATTCCCTGTGTCCTGTGGTCATTGCTCCTTGCATTGAGAAATCAGGAGTCCCTGGTGATGGTGCACCCCGAGCAGGAGGGTTGTGCGGGTGCCTTGTTCCTGACACCTCCAATGGCCAGGACCAGCCATGTCCTGGACGCCATCTCTCAGTCACCCAAGCAGCCTTGTCACACAGTTTATTGGCTGCCTGCCCTTCCCTCAATGAAGCCTCTGTTCCTCTCTCTGCACCATTAAAATTACTCTGCTCAAGCCTGAGTCTCAGACCCGTGTCTGGGGAGACTGAGGCCGAGGCAGCTCGCAGCAGCTCCTCGTCACTGCAGCACAGGTGGTGGTCGATATTGTAAGCGCAGAGACCCAGGCTGAGGGGCAGTACCCACTGGGCACAGATGGATGCCAGTGAGTGGAGTCACTGTCCCTTTTGCAGGCCCTGGCTCTGCTCTGAGGGCAGCTGGAGTGACTCAGTGAGGCTTTGGGTGCCATGCACCTGCGCTGGGGTTTGGTTCTGTCCACTCCTGAGCTGCTCATTCAGACATTGCACAGATATAGTGGTCACACAGACATAGTGGGTGCTGAAGCGAAAAGCATTGTCCTGGCCAAGGACACATCACTGTTAGCCTCTCTAGAGTTTTCTCTTCACCTCCAGTGTACTCATCCCATTGTCCCTGCCTCTTTCCACAGCAGCTCTGGAGTCCTCTTTCCTGGGGGTCTTCAGTTGCATCACGCTGTCCTGAATCCACTCAAAGTGCTTCCTGCTCATTTTGACTTTGGGGAAGATCCAGGAGTCTCATGGTGCTGGGTGCAGTGGGAAAAGTGGAGGAGGACCCAGGGTCATGTTTTAGCAGCCTTCCCTTCTTTTGGATGGTAGTTGGCAGCAGTATTTACCATATTTAAAATTAAAAAAGTTTTTTGAATCAGTGTGTCCCTGTGCGGTCCAGGTGGGGCTCAGACTCAGTATGTAGTGATCCTCATGGTGAGTCTCCTGCCTGGGCCTCCCAAGCTCTGGGTTCACAGGCATGCACAACCATGCCTCCCACGTATTTTTGATCACAACTTGTAAAGCCCCTCAGAAAGAGAATTCCAGAATTTTTTCAGAAATTGGCACCAAACATAGTGGGAGGGAGGCAGAGCTGTGTTTCTCGTACCACAGGAAACCTTCCAAGTACACATCTACTGAGTGTTCCTCTCTCCCCTGGCTGAGGGAGTCACGCTGAGCCCGCATTCCCGACCCAGAGGACAGTGCCAGCAGCCTCCCAGTGCAGCAGGGCTTTGAAAGGGTGATGAATGGCACCGACATGCAGGGCCATGGGAGGCCCACAGGGAGCATTCCCAGGGATGACTTCCGGGCATGGGCACCTAAGGCAGAGTCACCTGGGCTACCTGTGTCCCTCACCCCGGGCCCTGACAGAGGTGCACAGCTGGCCACACACAGACAGCACCCACAAGACTTCTAGAGTTTGGGGGGTGGGTTAAAAATCTGTAAAAAATAAAATGGAACGTTAACAATGCCTCTCCCAAAACTGTAGATTTAGTGCATGTCAATAATAACCATTAGGGAAATGAAGTTTATTTTTTTTTAAAAGGAAAAGTCCATCTCTCTCTTTGCTTTCCCTGTTGTCCCCATGCTGAGGCCACCAAGGTCAGCAGGCTGCTGTGGGTCCCTAGGTGGCCTCGGGAGGAAGCTCCTTTCCTCCTTCCCTCCTTTCCTTCCTCTCTCTTTCTTTCTTCTTTCATTTTGTGTTCTTTTTATTTCACTCACTCATTCATTCATGTTACATAGAGCGCATTGTTTATCTTTTAATTTCACAAATTTCTATGAGTTCCTGGGATGTAGCTTAGCAGCACAGCACTCGCCTGGCAAGCACAAGGTGTGAGTTTGATTCCTGGTCCAAAAATCCCACCAAATTCCCTGAGTGCAGCTTTGCAGCACACGAAGCCGGCTTCCTCCCGTGCGGAGTCCTTGCCCTGCTTCTCCACGGAGCCCCTCTACTCCCCTCCCAGAACAGCGCATGCCCAGGGCAGCAGCTTGGGCCCAGCCTGCGTGCTAGTCAGCCACATCCCCCACAGGACAGGGACACTGCTGGTGTCCAGGTGCTCTTGGCTTGAGGTCCTACAATGCACAGTTTTGGAAAGTTTCTCTGTGTGGTTAGCACTGCTTCTGCTGAGGCCGCAGGCCCCAGGACTGAGGTCGACCAGATGTCCACTTTAGATTGAAATGGATGTGGGTTTATTTATTTGTTAGCCTAGGTATAAAGATACAGCCATTGCTCTCTCTGTGGGGAGCTGACAGGCACTCTGGATATCTCCTAATTCTTTTTACTTTTCCCTCCCGACATCTACGGGTCCTTTATCATTTGCAAAAGATCTACCTCTTGTCTCCTTCCAGCCCTTATTCTGCCTGTAACTGCTTTGGGTCTCCCGTCTCTCATAGCAGAGAAGCCCTGGGGCTCACGTGGTGTGGCCCATTCCCATGCAGACCACCAGTTTGCCCTTGTGCACGGCAGAGTGGGACTGTGGGGCGGGACAGCGCCAACCTTCCTCACCCACTCAGAATGGGCGCTCAGCTCCCTTCTCCGAGTGTCCTGGGACCCATGGCCCCCAGGGCTGTGGCCAGGACTCTGATGAGAACAGGACAGTGGAGCCGCAGGGGCATTGGGACAGAAGCAGCCGTTAGGGAGCAGTTGGCCGGCGCGGGGAAGTGAAGAAAGGGCTCTTATCACTCGAGGGCCCTGTGCCCGGTGCCACTTCCCCCCAAAGCTCTATAAGAGGCCCAGTCTGCACAGGGCTTCTGGGAGAGGAGATTCCTGAGGACCCAACGACCTGCGTGGGGGCCTTTAGTGCTCACTGTCCTTGGTGCAGCTGGCTCTGGTGACTTGCGGGGCTCAGCCTTGGCTTCCTGCGGGGCAGTGGGGATTAAGGGGGTCCCTGGTTCCTTCCTGGCTCCCTGGGTCTGAGGTGATGGTGTCTTGGCCCTCTTTGTATTCTTCCCCCGAGGGACACCAGTCTGAGGGCTGGGCTTGAACTTGAGACCCTCCTGCTTCCCCTCCCATTGGGTAGGAGTCCTGTGTTCTCACTTCTCCTCTGGCTTCCACTCAGCTCCTGATAGCTTGGCCTGTGTGTATGTGTGTGTGTGTGTGTGTGTGTGCGCACGCGCGCATGTGTGCGTGTGTGCAGGTGTGTCTGTGTGCCTGTGTGACACTTTTTCTCCCTTGCAGGACAAGGTCGAGATGAAACTCCTGCTCCTCCTGGCTCTCCTTCTGGGGGCGGTGTCCACCCGGCATCTCAGTGAGTCTTGGTCTCAGTGTCCTGTGCCTGTGTCCTCTTCCTCTGGTGGGGTCTGGGGTGACCGCCCAGGGCAAAGAGGGAGCTGTTCGTGGTCCTGAAGGCACGGGGACTCCATGAGGGGACACTTGTTCTTCCTCTTGCCAGAGGTGGACACGTCCAGCTTGCAGAGCCTGCGGGGAGAGGAGAGCTTGGCCCAGGATGGGGAGACTGCAGAAGGGGCCACAAGGGAGGCCACTGCAGGGGCACTGATGCCACTGCCTGAGGAGGAGGAGATGGAAGGAGCCTCTGGAAGTGAAGATGACCCTGAAGAGGAGGAGGAGGAGGAGGAGGAAGTGGAGTTCAGCTCAGAGCTGGATGTGAGCCCCGAGGATATCCAGTGTCCTAAGGAAGAGGACACAGTAAAATTCTTCAGCAGACCTGGATACAAAACCCGTGGTTATGTTATGGTGGGGTCTGCCAGGACATTTAATGAAGCTCAGGTGAGGAGTGTGTCCTAGTGTCCTTGTCTTGGTCACTGTCCCCACTGAGGGTCTGAGGTCTCTGCAGATGCTGGACTGAGAGGGAGGAGGCTGGTCTCCCATTGCCATGGATCTGTGGTCAGGAGGGAGGGCATGGAGGATGCAGACTGAGACCCCCTCTGTGGTCACTGGGGATCCCATTGTGGACACTGATCTCTGCCTTTCCCCCCTCCTGCAGTGGGTGTGCCAGAGATGCTACAGGGGCAACCTTGCATCCATCCACAGTTTTGCCTTTAATTACCAAGTCCAGTGCACTTCCGCTGGACTCAATGTGGCCCAGGTCTGGATTGGAGGCCAACTCAGGGGCAAGGTAAGAGTGTGCTGGGTGCCTCTAACCAAGGCTGTGTCCATCAGGGCCAAGTGTCCTGCAGGCAGCAACAGCAGCAGCTGCAGAGACGGTGAAGGGACAGTGCCAGCTCCATCCACCCCCTGCAGCCCCTCTACAGCCCACTCCTCCCTCTCCCTCCCCCAGGGTCGCTGCAGACGCTTTGTTTGGGTGGACAGAACCGTATGGAATTTTGCGTATTGGGCACGTGGGCAGCCCTGGGGAGGTCGTCAACGTGGCAGATGCGTGACCCTGTGTGCCCGAGGTGAGCTGGGTGGGGAGGATTCAGGGGCTGAGGGCTGGGATGTTTGAGACGGGAGCCTGATCCCCAGGGAGTCCACCGCGAGTCTCCATGTCCCCCCCTCCCCGTTCTGTCTGCACAGGAGGTCACTGGCGCCGATCTCACTGTGGCAAGAGACGCCCCTTTGTCTGCACCTACTGAGTGTACATTGAGGCCTGGAGCTCCTCTCTGCTGCCCCACCCCTGCCTGCACCCCTCCCCTGCCACACCCTCCCTCCACTGCCCTACAATAAAATCGCTTTCCTGAAGTGAATTCCCTGGATCATGTGGTCATTGTTCCTTGCAGTGAAACCTCTTCCGGGTGTCCCAGAGGGATCAGAGAGAGGGTGGCGAGCTGGGTGGCGAGCTGGGTGGCGACCCTGGGGACAGCAGAATGGGCTCAGAGGGAAGTCTTCCATCCTGGTCCTGGACACCTGTCACAGGTGTTGTCAGAAACCCACCTACATCTCCAGGGCCTGTAGGGCTTCAGAGGATGCCCAGGAGCCCATGCTGGACCCCATTCAAGGGTCTCTGGTCACTCACCACCCCACCCCATCCCAGAACTGTGCTTAACTGTGCAAGGAAATCAAGAGGTCCCTGGGGACAGTGCACCCCAAGCAGGAGAGGGATGGGGGTGCCTGGTTCCTGACCCCTAAGACAGCGAGGACCTGCCATGTCCTGGACACCGCCTCTCAGTCAGTAGGTGATTGGTTTCACGCACACAGTGCCTGAGTCAAGGACTGTGTCATGGTCCTGCTGGACAGTCTCAGAGAGGGCAGAAGGGGCTTCAGGTCCAGGTCAGGCTGTGTCTGCTGCTCCACGTCCACTTCCTGGCAGCCTCCTGCAGTGCCCAGTCTGCAGGCTGCTGTACTGGAAGCTCATAGTCCATCCACAGAAAGTTTCCTTTTTTTTTTTTTTTTTTTTTTTTGTCTTTTTCGTTTTTATCGGTACCAGGGATTGAACTCACGACAGCCTACTTGCAAGGCAGGCGCTTATGCTGCTGAGCTAAATCCCCAGCCCTGAAAGTTTCCATTTTTAAAGCAAGCACCACGGCACAAGCAGAGTGGCCTCATGTCCCTACAGATGGGCTGTGTGTACCCATGCATCCTTCCCACCCCCGTGCTCCTAGGCATGAGCCCCACACCTGCTACCGAATGGGGTTCCTGGGTCCCTCCCCAGGGCACTTCTCACTCATTGTAGGGGCCGCAGCTCTGCCGGCACCATCCTGAGAGCTCCTCCAGCCCGATCCTGAGCAGCAGGCCCTGCTGCTGCCCTCTGTTGGCAGCTGAGCTGCTTCGGGGCTGTCGCTGGGACTTGGGATCCCCTACATCCCCACGCCTGCTTGCCAAGACAGTGACACCACCCTCAGGAAGGTGGACTGGGTTGGCTTTGGGGGAAGGAGGCAGAGTTTAATCCCCAGTGGATGTAGCTGAGAATGGTAGGCCAGAGCCTCGGGTGCCCCAGGGATGCTGGCACCACTGGCTGCATCGTACCGCACTTGGCCACATGCAACAAGGGCTGAAATCAGACACACGAGGTCCACACATCAGCTGTCCCTCATCGAGGAGGAATGGACAGGCCCTGTGACTTTGTCGAGGCTTCACAGGTGAACGCACAGACAGCACACGGCAAATCCAGTCTTGCATAGGGTGAGGCGGGGAACAGAGGGAAGGATAAACCATGATGGAGCCCAGTGTCTAGGCTGAGATGGATCTGAAATCAGTCTTGGTCTCAAACCCAACAAGATCAGTGTGGCCACTGACAATGTCACTGGAGTCATTTGGTGGCCTTTGACCAGGGTACAGGAGGGACCCTGGGGGCTGGATTGGGAGGGAAGCCCCAAGCAGGTTGGAGAAAGCCAGCTGCAGGCTGATGGGGTCAGAGACTGGCTTCAGGCTACCCTCAGAACAGCTGTGTGATGTCAGGCGCTCATTTGAAGCCCCTGAGATGCCACTTCCTCCTCTGTGACCTGAGACATCACTTGCAGCACTAACCCCGGATCTGGCTTGTGAGGAAAGCCAGTGACATCAGCCACTCCACCACGAAGCCAAACGGCACCCAGGCCGCAGCATGAAGGGGAAAAGGGGAGTCTTCCTGTTGTTCTCCCCACTGCTGGGAGGCCCCCAACTTGGAATCCAACAGTCCAGGTTTGGGGCCCTAGGCTTGGCCAATCCTCCCATCAGGTTGATAAGCTGAGGCTCCGTCCTAGTAGATAAGGGCTAGTAGATAAGGGCTGAGCTGTTACTCTGCAATCTGGCCCAGAGGCCACTTCTTCATTTCCAGGGCTCTTGGGGGTGTGGAAGAGGGACAAAGCCAGGCCTGGGCGGCTGGGCTGGGGATGGGTGCCGGGATGCCCTGCCCTGTAGGTGTCTCAGGGTTGAGCCCCCACCCCAACAGACCCCTAGCTCTGGGTAGACAGAGGCTGCAGCCGCAGTGAATCCAACTGAAGCCTGACTCAATCTTTGACATCAAGTTCATCATGGGCATTTTGAATTAATTTTGATTTTCAGATAATGCCCCTGTGGCTTGCCTGACCTTTCAGTGCATCTCTAGGCTTTGTGTCTGCTTCCATTGCCTCATTCTAGTCCTGACTCTGGCAGTGACCCAGAGTGGTGGCAGATGGGGGGTACAGGTTGGGAGCAGGGTGCTCTGCAGGGGGCTGGGGGACTCTGCATGGAGCTCCTCAACCCAGCCACTGTCTCTGCAAGGTGCTTTCTACATCTGCACCCCCAGATGTTCTGAGGTTGTTACAAAAGGTGTGGAGACATTGCTGATGGTCCTAACTGCTGATGTCTATCGGGTCGAGATAGGGGCGTCTTGGGCTCTCTGCAATACACAGGGCCATTTGCCCCTGATACTGTTGGGCCCCAAATGTGAACGGGCAAAAGTTGGGAAATCTCTGTCCACAGTACGGGAGAAGCAGCCGAAGCTTTGACATATTAAAAACAGGAGGGAGAGGGAGAGAAAGAGGGAGGAGGAGGAGCAGGGAAAGAGGAAGGGAGAGGAGAAAGAGTTCTGGGGCAGAAAGGCCAAGACACTCTAGCTCCCTGGCTTCTTGTGTGGCCTTGGAGAGCCACCTTCTTCCTCTGGATGCCCAGTCACCCCTGTGTGTCGGGGATGGCCCTGCACTCCCACTGGGGTGGATAAAAGTGGAGATCAGATGATGCTGGCCCCAGGCAAAGCATCTGTGTGCAGAAGAGCTGGGGACAGTGGGGACTGAGCCCAGAGCCTGCTTGGGCCTGAGAGACACTCATGGTGCTGACCCCAGTTGGAAGGGTGTGGCGTTTGGGGCCCCCACATGCATGCAGCCTGGGTGGCTCCCATTTAGGGAAGCAAGGTGGGGGTGGGGGCAAGCTTTATCAGCTTGGTGACCCCATCTCCAGCTTGGGGCACCCTCCGCCTTCCTCACTTCCCTAAAGCCCAGTATAAGGGCGTGTGTGGGGCGCAGGGGCCAGGGCACTGTGCGGAGGCCCCTAGCTCTCAGGAGGTGGGCAAGTCCCTGGCGCTTGGGATGGGGTCCAGACCCAGAGGTTGTGGGGCTGTGGAGATGCTTGGACACCTGCTCCTAGGTCCGCAGTGCCCCTGCCCCCTGCATCCTCGGGGGTCTGGGCCAGAGCTTTTCAGAGGGGAGAGAGGGCTCAGGTAAAGGCTTGTGAGCCTCACTGCCCCACCTGTCTCTTGTCAGAGTCCCTGCTTGTCTATGCTGGGGCCACCCCAGAGGCTGACAGCCCAGGAGGACGCAACCCAGGAGCCACTTGGAGGCTGAGCAGACAATGCCAGGGCTCCCTCACCTGGCCCTGGCCCTGGCCCTGGCCCTGATCCAGGCAGTCTCTGCTCTCCAGATGGGTATGTCTGCCCTGGTCTTGCCCATCCCTCTCACTTTTCTGAGCTCCTCCTTTCTAGTTGTGCTCTCCTGGGGCTGAGTCCCTCCTCCTCAGCTGACCCCAACTCACTCTGGTAAAATTTCTTGGGTCCAAACTGTAAGATGAGAGACTGGTGATAACCAGGCTTCTCATGCATGCATCCTCTCAGCCCCCAAATATCCTAATATTCCGCTTGGCAGTGGACCCAGGGGACCCCACCCCTAACCCTCATAGGAAGCCCTGATGGCTTGAGCTGTCCATGGTCCTGGCTTGCCGGAGCTCCCGCATGACAGCACTGCGAACACTTCTTCCTAGAGGACGACGTGCCCCATCTGCAGAGCCCAGAGGCAGGGCTGTGCTCGGGCCCAGGTGGCACTTGGAGGCAGGAGGGAGCATCGGCCCTGGGCCAGGAGGCGATTCCTACAATGAGAAACGAGGCCAAGGCTCTGCAAGATCAAGAGGATTCGCTATGCCCTAGGGAGGAGGACACTGTTCTGATCCAGGGGGGCCCAAGGTGCCCAATCCACCACTACCTGCTGGTGCGGACCCCTAAGGTGTTTAATCAAGCTAAGGTGAGCTGCAGGTGCTGCTTGGGAGGGCGGGAAGGGAATGCATTTTGCCCCTACCTTGTGCCTGTGTGGATGGGTGGTTCTCAGCCTGGCTTCAGAACCCCCTGGGCGTTTTGTTAAAATGCAGACTTAGGCTCCACCTCAGTTTCTCACATAGGATGGGAGGGGGGCGTTCAAGACTCCTGGTGACATTACCTGCACTTTGGGAGCCGCTAGTTCCGATGCGAGGCCTTGGTACCAGAGACACCTGGGTGGGTTCTGACTCCACCTTCCACGATGGCATCCTGCCCTCAGGCCTGGGGAAAGCACACCTTGCTGAGGCTCCAGTTCTTTGTACAAAAGTGGCACAGCACTTGCCTACAACCTCTGCAGCACTGCTGGCTTCCTTCATATCCTTTCTAGGTGACATCTAATCCCCAGTATGACCAGACACTGGGACACATGCCTGACACTTGGGAAGCTGAGGCAAGAGGATCACAAGTTCAAATACTGTCTGGGCAACTTAGCAAGATTCTGTCTCAAGATAAAAAGGGCTGGAGATGTAGCTCAGTGCGAAGGTCTTGGGTTCCATTCCTGGTACAACAATGAAAACCCAGTGTAATGGAAATACTATACAAATTGTCATCAGGCTGTACATTGGAGGATAGTAATAAGGGCAAAATGTCTGCACAGGACCTGCCTATTGGAGGACGACAAAGATTTCTAGTTTATCCTTTAAGGGATGAATTAAAGAAATACTGTGCCTACTCTATGTGCCAGGCCTGCTCCCGGTGTAGAGGGCCTGGATGCGTTTTGGAAGAGGGTTAAAAAAGTTTTTTTTTCTGACACACAGGCTTACCATATGCTTCAGGCTGGTTTCAAATTTAGTATGCAGCCCAGCTGGACTTAAACTCACCACCTTCTTGCCTCAGCCTCTTGAGTGCTGAGATTACAGACATTCTATGCCTCGAAAGACAGAATTTTAAAAGCTGTTTTTGCTGGCTGGTTGGTTGAATCCACGATGGGGAGCTGATGTGGGTAAAGGGCTGACTGTGTGATGCGTAGGAATCTCTTAGAACTGTGATAGGGAGTTTGGAATAATCACGGGACTGGTCAGTAAAGGATGGTAATGATCATTATTACTCTTGGCAAAGATGTTCTGAGCGCTGATTCTGGACAAAAAGCATGAGGAAGGGAAATAAGCCTTAGTTATAACCTGAAGACAGTTGCCAAGGTCCTTCCTGGGGATGGAAGAGTGTGACAGAAGGGCAGAGTCCCTACCCTGTGCCTTTCCTCTGCAGAACATCTGCAAGAGATGCTATGGGGGCAACCTGGTCTCCATCCACAACTACAGGGCCAACCATCACATCCTCCTGCATGCCAGCAAGATCAACCAGGCCCAGGTCTGGATTGGAGGCTTCCTCAAAGGCTGGGTAAGCTGTGAGCACCGTCCGGGGCCAGGAAGTTCTTTCCAGTCGTCTCAGGGCAGTGGAGGTGAACCTGTACTATGTGTGCTGCAGCAGGCTGCTGGTATCATTGAAAGCTCTAGAAGGTTCATTATTGCTGTCCTAGGGGACACCCTGCCCAGGTGGGCTGGGATGTCACTCTTAGCTTGTGGCAGTGTGGCACACCTGGACAGAAGGCCTGTCCCCAGCGTGTGGGCTGCAGAGCTGAGCAGACAAGAAAGAGCCCAATATCCCCCAACGCCACATCCCCAGTGACCTGCCTCCCACTAGGCTCCACCTCTTAAAGGGCCCACCATCTACCAATTGCCCCATTGGCTAGGAACCAGGCCTTAAACACATGGGCTGTTGGGGTAGTTCAGAGCCCACCTACGACATGGCCCAAGTCAGCACTGCCTCCTCCTTCCCATCTCCTCATCCTCCCCCAGGACTGCCTTTCTAAACATTTGCCAGCCCAGCGCTGGGGTCAGGAGAATGATTCTAGCAGGCAGACACCAGACTCAGCTCAGTGCCTGAGTGACCCCTCCCCAGGCCCGTTTCTTCATCACTAACTCGGGGATCTTATCTCTGGCTGGCTCTGGGATTGCGTGAGAATAGATGACACCATATTTGACACTCAGAGTGTGGTCCATGTTCCAGCATCACCTGGCAACTTGGTAGAAATGCAGAGAATCTTGACCACATCCTGGGCATCCTGAATCAACGCCTGCGTGATAGCAAGAGGCTGGGGAGGTGGGAGGTGGTGGCTGGGACCACACATAGCTGCTCTCCTGCTGCCATTGAGGGCACCCAGCTCCCAGCAGAGGGCATTGAGGAGCGGCCCTGGATCTCCCTTCCCTCCTGGGCCACCTGGCTGTGACCTAACCCCCTTCTCATTTTGGCTGTAGTTCCTGTGGAAAAAGTTTCGCTGGACAGATGGCAGCAGCTGGAATTTTGGATACTGGGCCCCAGGGCAGCCTGGGAATGGGAAAGGCTCCTGCGTGGCCCTGTGTACCAAAGGTGAGGGGACGGGAACAGCGAAGGCAGCAGAGTGACATCTAAATGCTGCCCTGGGTCAAAGAGCCTCCTCCATTGCGAACCCCAGACTTGAGACCCACGCAGCCAGGAAGCACGGGAAGGGGCGCAGCTGTGTCCGCTGGCTCCTGTGACAGAGGGAGGCCCATGCGAGTGACAGATGTGGTTTGTAAGAGCAGCAGATGTGAGCACCAGGTGCGAATGAGTGAGGAGGGAGAGTAGGAATTAGAAATGGCTGCATGAGGAGATGCCAGCTTCGGGCTGCAGATGTGGGGACACCCAAGGAGACAGCTGTGACAGCCAGCAGGACCAGTTGGCAGCAGAGACAGGGCAAGTGAGGTCTCCGGGAAGCCTCAGGCTCCTTTCCTGTGACACGTAGATGAGGACAGGTGTGCCCTGGAGTCACAGTGAGGACACAGCATGACTGTTCCCACAGGGCTCTTTGGGGGTGCTGATGTCCTCTGCTCTCTCTCCTCTAGGGGGCCACTGGCGACGTGCCCGGTGCTACAATCGCCTGCCCTTCATCTGCTCCTACTAGACCCTGCCTGGAAGAGAGCTTCCTGCCTCAGCCTCCTGGCTTGTGCCATAAACCAAGCTTCCCACAGCAGGCCTGGAGTTTGGAGTCTTCTTTCTTCTGAGCTTGGGGGGCCACTATGGGGAGGACTCCACCCAGCCAGGAGGTTGTGCAGGTCACATGTGGGGAGACTGAGAGGCAGCACTACAGGGGCAAGCGAGGTCTCTGCAAAGTCTCAGTGGACCTAGGGGCCCACATCTGTAGAGGTGCATGGGGGGCACTCTACCTGGCTTTGCTTGGGTTCAGAGTGGGGTGCTGGGTGGGGCAGCTGGAGATTCCAGAGCTGGTGTGGAATATCTGGGTGGTGCTTGGAGCCTGGGGACCCTGAAAGGGGACAGGCTTCCTCCCTAGACTTGCCACATTTGCCTCTGGCCGGGGGAGGCTGTGTACACATGTGCACGTGTGCAGGTGTGTGCATGTTTATACCTGGATATTCAGGGCAGTGCGTGTGTCGGTGCTGTGACTAGCCACTGGGCTGTGGCTGGTTATCAGGTGCGTGTGCAGGTGTGTGCACCCCTGGGTGGCAGATGGCCAGTGTGTGTCCGAGTGTCAGGTCCGCTTTTGCCCGTGTGCATGCTAATCGGGTGTGCACCACCGGCACACAGCTGCAAGAGTGAAAAAGCCCATTTTCCCAGGTTCCCTGTGTGCTGAGGGTGTGGGAACAGGGGGACCAGGCCAGGGATGGGGGGGGGGCATCCCTGGGACCTCGAGGGGGCAGGAAAGTGGAGAGGAGAGCCCTGCATGGGCTGGGGAACGAGCCTGGCATTGCCAGCCCCCCCTCCCGCCCCCGGTGCTGAGCTCCTCCTCTCCACATAGAGCAGGGGCCCCAGTGCCTCCAGACTGGGGCAGGGCCCTGATGCTCCCCAAGTCCCTGTGCTGCTGGGTAATGGGCTCTACCTCCACCCTCGCCTATTCATATCTCTGGCTGCTTAAGACCTATGTTCTGGAGAAGCTCTGGATTACAAAGCAAATGCTCCTGAGAGCAGGAAACCCCACAGGGCTGTCCATGAATACACCTGGGAGGCGGCTGGCAGCTAGCTAGGTGCCAGGCTTTGCGAGGCCCAGTGTGTGTGTAGCTCTCCCTGTGGAGCGGGTCTGGTGGAGGGGAGGGGAAGCTGCTGAAAGGAGGCAGAGAAGCCATCTGCGTCCCGGAGACTCAAGAAGACCCTGTGTCTAGCTCCCTAGACAGCTGGGGGCCCTGAAGCCTGCTAAGGAGAGGTGGTTTGAAGTGAAGCGGTCCCTCACGGCCCAGCTAAAGGACCCCCTAAGCCTCCAGCTGTATGTGTCTGCACAACAATCCACAAAATCCTTGAGTGTTTACTCCTTCCTGCAGCAAAGCCTGCAGGGCTCTGGCATAAGGGAAAGAAGGTTCTGGGCATGGTGGGGCTGGCCTGTCATCCCCAAACTCAGGAAGGAAGATCCCGAGAGTCTGGGGCCAGCCTGGGCTACGTGGTGAGCTCAGGACCAGCCTGGGCTGTAGCGAGACCCTGCCTTGAAAAAGAAAACAAACAAACAAACAAACAAACAAAGGTCCTGATTCCTCCCAGACATACAGGACACAGGTCCACAAGCCAAGCTCCAGAGACATAAAGCTCTGGGTTTAAGTCCAGGCTGTCCTGTGTCCATTCTTTGTCCTGATAAGCACAAGCCTGTTTCTTCTGCAATGCGAAGGGAGGATTAGGCACTGCCTGCCACACATTTAGGTGCTGCTTGCCAAAGGGGAATCACCAAAAGTGAGCTTTTATGCCAAGTTTTTGGGTTTTTTTCCCTTTTCTTTTTGAGACAGAGTCTTGTTATGCAGCTCAAGCTGGCCTTGAGCTCACTTTGTAGCCCAAGCTAGTCTCAAACCTCTAACGATCCTCTTGCCTCAGCCTCCCGAGTGCTGGGGTTGCAGGTATGCCACCACACTGGGTGGTGCACTGTCGATTTGGTTTTGGGTTGGACAAGATTAATAACAACCCTGCAGCACCCTTGCAGGGCTGGCATGAGGATGTGCATGACTGAGACAGTGACTGGGCTGGGGGCTGTGGTGCCGCAGGGACAAGTGAGCTGCTGTCTGCACTGAGGACAGTGGCTCGGGTCTGACAGAGCACAGGGCTGGGCAGAAGGCTGGAGGAGAGGCTCCGGCCCCATAATGGTTGATACATTGTTTCAGCTCGCAAAGTCTCGGGTTTAACTAACTGCAGTGCCACATCTTGCCAGTGCAGTACTTGGCCCTTAGTGCTCTCCATGTTATTCACTGTGTCAATTTGAGAGGGTCAGTTTACTTAAGTGACTCAGCAAGGGGCCAGGGTCCTCACTTTGTAAACATCCTCAGCCTGTGCAAGAGGAGGGCATGCAGATGGTGTGGGGGGCTACACCCAGCCCAAGGCAGGAGCTGGCTTATCATATAAGGGAGGACGAGAGGCTTGCTCTCCCCACTTTTGCCCGTTACCCTGTACCATGCCACCCTGCCTTGGAGCCAGCTGATGACAGACTGAAACCTCCACAAACTGTGAGCCAAATAAACCTTTCCTCCCTTACCTGTGGGTGTTGGGTATTTGTGTCCCAGCAAGGAGAGAGAGAGAAGTAACTAAGAGCCCCACAGCTTCTCACCTTCCAAGACTGACCAAGAGGACCCTTAGCAGGTCCTTCCAAGAGGACCCTGGTAAGGGTCCTGGGGAACAGGGCTGGTTGGCTGTGCTGGGACCGCCCCCCATCCAGGGCAAAGGTGGCCAGAGTCCCTTCACCAGTGTTTGAAATAAGAACCTGCTGGACCTCCTGGCAGTGCTGGGATGCCAGGCCTGGGGCAAACCCCACCAGGGAGGGCAGGGAAGGGAAACTCCCCGAGAGTTCTGTTTCCCAGTCCCCTGAGAACTCAAGTGCCCCAGAGGTCAGGGGTGAGACTCACACTTGTCTGCCAGGTCCTCTGGAAGTGGGACCTGTGCTCCTGGGAAAGCTTGCTCTTTATTAACCTGACCAAGGTCAGGAAAGGCAGTGGCCTGAGTGTGATGGGGTTCACTCTTCTCTCAGGCACGGGTAAGGGGTGAGTGAGACCCGTTCGAATCCAGACCCCCTCACTTCCTGACTGTGCAATTGTGCCTGTTACTGGGAGAATGCTCCTCTTCAGTGCAGGGAAGGGAGTGTCTGTCCACCCACAGGTTATTCTGAGGATCACAGGTGGCTGGGTGTGACGGGCCTGCCCGGCACTTGGGAGACCCCCGTGGGTGTTCCTCCCTGGATCATTATCTCTGTTCTTTGGGATGGGACAGTGCAGGTGCCACTGCCCCTGGGGGTCCTAGAAGCAGAGGGGCGCATGCGGGGAGTGGGTGATACAGAGTTGGGGTTGTAGCAGGAATCGCTGCTGCTGCTGGGGCACCTGGACACCCAGGTCCCCGCGTGGCCTTTGGGGTGAGCAGCAGAAACCTCCCCAAGCCCCCTGTCCTGTGGGGTCCCCTCCCGGGGCCCCTCCTTAGTGGCCGATGGAGTAGGCGCCTGAGTCCGTGGACTGCTTCTCTGCGGTGGCCTGGTCCAGGGGGTTGGGGACCTTCAGCATGGACTCGTTCACCTGCAGGTAGAAAGCTGGCATGGTGGTCTGAGCCTGTGTGACCCACCTGCTCCTCAGGGGACCCCACATTCTTCCAAGGTTCTGCAGAACACAGAAACCTGAGGCTTCCTGTGGCCCAGAAACGGAGTGAGGACCGCATGTGAATGGGGATGTTGATGCAATGATCCTGGGACCCTGAATCCCTTAATGAGTGGGGGGCCTTAGGTCTTCACCAAAGCCTCAGGCTGAGCCTCTGGGGCTCCCCACCCAGCCCTCCAGCCCCCCTCACCTCCTCAAACTTCTTGGCTTTGTACTGGTCCGCACCTTTGAGGAAGTTGAGCAGGATGATATCACAGAGCACAGTCCCCTGCAGAAGAGCCGGGACTCAGAGGGGCTGTGGGGTGGGGGGCAAGGTCACAAAGGACAGGACAGGGACGGGAAGCGGGGACCCACAGCTGTCCCTCCTGGAGGCCAAGGGAGGCTTCCTCACAGAGCTGTGCCCAGGACCAGAGAGCTTCACAGCCTCCTTGCCAGCTGCTGGGGGTCCAGGACCCACACGGACAGCTCAGTGGAGGAGCAGCAGGACCCCTTCCTGGGTGCCCTGTCCAGGTAAGAGCAGCTCCAGCTGCAGAAATCCTGCTGTCCCTTCCGTGTCCTATGGAGACTCGGGGACTTCATCACCTCAAAGGCCCTGACATGAGGCAGGTAGTCTCAGGAGGCCCCGAGCTCCGGGGCACTGGCCCCAAGATTATGGGGCAGCGGGGCAGGGAGGCTGAGCGGGGTGGGGGGACTCACCACTCCCACGGAGGTGAAGGCGGCCACGGAGCTGATGATGGTGGGGATGATGTTGAACTTGCCCGCCTGCAGACACAGAGACAGTGGCTGGGCGGGCCGGCTGCAGGGAGGCCAGGAGAGCCTGGGGCTGAGCCCACGTGGGGGGGGGGCTCCGGAGGAGTAGCAGGATCCCCCACCGGGGAGGGAGGACCTCACCCCTCCCCCCGCCCCCACACTCACGTTCCCGTACACCAGCACGTCGAAGCGGATGCCGAAGGCCTTCATGAGCGTGCGGTACTCACTGCCATTCTCCATCTTGTAGTACTTGGCGAACCTGGGAGCCAGAGTGGGCAGTGGGGCCCCTGGCGGCTCCTGGCTGAACCCCCACAGATCCCCACTTTCTGATCGTTAGGGAGCCGCCCACATGAGTCCTCTCTGGGGCCATCGGACCCCCAGACAGGCATCGCCTTGGGAACCTGTTAGGGAGACAAGTCCCCAGGCACCCACCTGGCTCCATCCCCACCGGTGGCCATCGGCGTGGCCTCCCAGGGCTGGGGGACCCCTCAGAGTCAGGGGTCGGGACAGGCCCAGGACCCGGGAACTGCTTGGGAATTGTCAGCGGATGCTGGCTGTTGGTATTTGTTGAAGAAATGGGTTGACATTTGCAGATCAGGGACAAGCAGTGGTTTTAGATGGCTCCTCTGGATGGTCAGGTCACCTGGCCACCACCCTAGGTGCAGCACGAAGTGGCACTTGTATTCTTACAGAGGGGGTAAATAACCAGTTGGCAGTCACCCTACCGACTTGGCACCAGGTTTATCCAAACCCAAGCCTTCGTCCTCTGTCCTGGCCACTGGCCACCATAAACTGTGGGGAGCTTGTGATCACGGATGCACTGACTGTCACCAGACAGAGCTGGGTGTCGAGCACAGGGAGGGCGTCCACACCTCCCTTCTACAGATGCCTTGCAGGGGTCTTGCCTGTACTTTTGTCATCAGTGGGCACTGGATTTGGGGCAGAGCTGAAATTGTGGGGCTCTTAAAGCCAGCGCACTTGGCCTTGTGGTCCACTGTGACTCACACATGCCCAGTGTCACTTCTTTGGCTTCTGCTCTGCAGCTGGTAGCAGGGTTCCCAGGACCAGCATCTTCAGAAGGTTGGGGAAGGGTTAAACAAGATGGTAGGAAAACCCTCTATGAGGGTAGGGACAGCCCAGCTCTCCTGCAGGACAGGCCATCTGCATCCCTGTCCCCTGACCCCTCCCAGCAGGGAAGGGGGCTGAAAACTCCTTCCCCAAAACTGCCAATCCAAGCGGCTCGGGGCCTGAGGAACAGGCAGTGGCAGGAAGGTCACTGAGAAGGGGATGGTCACACACTGGCCACTGCTCAGCGGGGCCTGGCTGCAGGGAGTCCCTGGGGGCATGGTCTCGAGATGTTTCTGGGCTGTCCTGGATCATCTTTCTGTCCCACGACTTTTCTTTCTTGGAGCCAAGCAAACATGGACTGAATCTTCTGAAATTATGGGCTGAAATAGATTCATCCTCGTTGGCGTTAAAGGTGTCAAGTGTTTTGTCCCAGGGATGGAAAGTGACTTAGGGAGCTACCAAACCTGGAGTCAAGGTGGGGAGGTGTTCCATCAATAGGACGTACCGCCAACAACAGGAAGAACTGCCACCAATAGGAAGAACTGCCACCAACATGAAGTACTGCCACCAACAGGAATTACCACCACCAGCAGGAAGTACCGCTAACAACAGGGAGAACTGCCACCAACAGGAAGTATTGCCACAACAGGAAGTACCACCACCAACAGGAAGTACCTCCAATAACAGGAAGTACTGCCACCAACAGGAAGTACTGCCACCAACAGGAAGAACTGCCACCAACAGGAAGTACCTCCAATAACAGGAAGTACCACCACCAACAGGAAGTACTACCAACAACAGGAAGAACTGCCACCAATAGGAAGAACTGCCACCAACAGGAAGTACCGCCAGCAACAGGAAGTACTGCCAGCAACAGGAAGTACTGCCACCAACAGGAATTACCACCACCAGCAGGAAGTACCGCTAACAACAGGAAGAACTGCCACCAACAGGAAGTATTGCCACAACAGGAAGTACCACCACCAACAGGAAGTACTGTCACCAACAGGAAGTACCTCCAATAACAGGAAGTACCACCACCAACAGGAAGTACTGCCAACAACAGGAAGTACTGCCACAAACAGGAAATACCGCCAACAACAGGAAGAACTGCCACCAATAGGAAGAACTGCCACCAACAGGAAGTACTGCCACCAACAGGAATTACCACCACCAGCAGGAAGTACCGCCAACAACAGGAAGAACTGCCACCAATAGGAAGAACTGCCACCAACAGGAAGTACCGCCAGCAACAGGAAGTACTGCCACCAACAGGAATTACCACCACCAGCAGGAAGTACTGCTAACAACAGGAAAAACTGCCACCAACAGGAAGTATTGCCACAACAGGAAGTACCACCACCAACAGGAAGTACCACCAGCAACAGGAAGTACCGCCAACAACAGGAAGTACTGCCACAAACAGGAAATACCGCCAATAACAGGAAGTAATGCCACCAACAGGAAGTACCACCAACAACAGGAAGTGCCACCATGAAGTCATTGGGCAGGAGCACAGGGAGGCCAGGGTGTTCAGGCTGCTGAGCTTCTGCCATGGCTTAGTTCCCCACCTGGAGCCATAGCCTGTGGGGCAGCCTTGTCTTGCCACCTCAGCTGTCTCCAGATATGGAAGTTTTTCCCCTGCCCTGCCCCTGCCAGCCACTTGGTAGTGGTGTCCTTGAGTTACCAGCCTGGGGTAATTTGGGGTCCTCCCCTAGCCTGGCTGGTTTCCTCCATGGCTGGGCATCTATCTCTGTAAATGGTGTCCACATCTAGTTGCCTTGGGACACATCGCCCTAACCACCATCTCTGCACACAAGAGGGGCCGGAGCCCAGGCCTGGAAAGCTTCATTGGGTGGGAAGGGTGCAAGAGGGTCCCTGCTACGCCTGGTTGAGCTGTGTGCCTGAGAGAACCATCTATTGCCAGGTAAGGGTGCCAGCCACCAGGGAGGAGAGGGCTCCTGGGGAGCCAGGCACAGGTAGGTGCTTCCCTCCACAAGTGGGAAGGGTGTGGAGTCAGGGAGAGGGAGAGGGTGGAACACTTCACTCCCATAGTGATGTGTGCTGGTGGCAGGAGAGAGCTGCTCAGATACAGGCTGAGCAGGGCTTCCGGCTGCAGCAGCAGGGGGATGAGAGCACAGCCCCCAAGAAGGGTTGGTCTTACGCCTATCACAATAGCAGAGTTCCAGCGGGGTGTGCGGGCTCACACTTGGAGTCACAGCAGGAGATTCCCACCCTACTTAGGAGACCGAGGCAGGAATATTGCAAGTTCAAGGCCAGCCTGAGCAATTTAGCGAGACTGTCTTAAAGGTAAAACAGAAGAAAGGCTGGGAAGGTAGTTCCACAGTAAAGCATTTGCCTAGCATGCGTGAAGCCCTGGGTTCCAGCCCCAGGACTGCAAGGAAAAGGAAAAAATGACAATGAAGTTCAAGATCCTGATCCTGCCAGGTCGTCTCTTGGGAGGTCTGGAAAGGTGCAAAGCGGGTGATCAGGAAGTCAGGACACCTCCGCTGCAGCCTTTGGGTGAACCGAGGCCAGGAAAGACCAGTGCCCCTCCACGCCTGCCGGGAGTGTCACACTGGAATCACACAGGAACCCGAGCCTAGGTCAGTCCTGGAAGAAGGGGCCTGTCCACAGATGAGAGGGGAGCTTGCCTGAGCCAGGACCCCAGCCGTACTGCAGGCTCTGAGCCTGTGCCAGGGACCCTGAGCTGTCCTGCCTTCAGCGCTGGTGACTATTAATCAGGGACAGGATCAGGTCTCCAAGCCCAGAGGCTCTGCAACCTCCGCCCTTGTCTGTACATGGGGCCAGACAGCCAGGGGAAGGGGTCGGGATGGGGGGGGTCCTGATGCCTCCACACCCGCTGCCTAGGCTGCCGCATCGATGAATGCACGCTGCTGCCACACGGACTGGAGCGCCCCGTCAGCGTGCTGGGCACTGAGCAGGGAGCGGGCGCTGTCTAAATTTATACCGGGAATGCGTGTGAAGGAACAGGAGAGAAATCACAGCGGGCTTGGTTCTCCTCCAGCGCCTGCCTTCCAAGAGGCAAGAGCATGGTACATCATTCTCTCACCCGCCGCCCACCCTCCCCGGTTTGGCAGGGATGGGTCTCCCCCTCCCTGTACTGCCGCCGCCCAGGGAGGAGCAAGGGGCTCGGAGGCCCGCGCAGACCGGCAGGGTCCCGCAGACCTGGCCAACCACATGGCAGAGTGATCACCCAGTCCGGTCGTTCTCTGTCTCTGTCTTTGTGTCTCTCTGTCTCTGTCTCTCTTGGCACCTACCGGGATGGGGTCTGCTGGCCGATTTTCTCCACCCGAGCCCCAGGGCTGGTTCCGGCCCATGGCTGCTGGGTGGAAGTGAGCCCTGCTCCAGGCTGAGGTGTCTGGACAGCCTGCTTCCTTCATCCTGCTGGCCCTCACCTGGGAGCCAGGGGAGGACATTGAGGCTGGCAGGGAGAACGAGGCAAGCGGCCAGGAGTGGACTTCTACCCCACCCACAGTGCCCTGCAGCCTGAGAAGGTGGTGCTCTGGATCCCTCGCCACCGTGAGGGGCTGTTTGTTACATCAGTGGGGCTGATGCTGACTGCCACAAACCCCCAGCTCTGCAGCTCCGCAGACCGGGGCTCAGGGAGCACTACTTTGCCAGCGGGCAGAGGAGTTAAGTTGGGGACCGCTGGACAGCAAGGTGAAGTCCTGGATGCTGTACTCCTAGCCACCCACGGAGGCCCTGTGATCTGGGCTCAGGAGCTGACCTCTTCTCCCTGGAAGGTCACCTGACCTCTCTGAACTGTGACCTCCACTGCTGTCCCCTGGGCTGACAGGAAGCCATCAACACACATGAGCGCTCCCTGTGCCGGGTCTGAGTCTGTGGCCTGATGAAGCTCTGTGTTGCGACTCCTGCTGTCTGCGGATAAGCCGCTGTTACAAGGGAGACACCCAGCACCTGGTTCTCTTTGCTGCCTAATTCCTATCCAATTTCTTCCCATTCTCCAGCTGGGGGGAGCATTTATATTTGATAGGGAGATCTGTATACCCAGAACATCGGCTGGGAGTGAGGCAGAACAGTTGCAGAGAAAGGCCTGCCGTGTGCGCCCCACAGCCTCCACGTCTGCAAATGGAAAGGGTGGAGCTGCCGTGCCAGCCCTGATTTCTCCTCATGCCTCCCCTCTCTGGCCTGGGTTTTTTTTTTTTT